ATGGCTACTGGAATTTGTAAGCGAAGATAGAATTGAAGTTGGCATTTGTTTCATGAATATCGGTCGTGTGTCACGACTAACTTTGTTATCCTCCTCTTCCATTAACTTGATCCAATCAGCTGATCACCTCGCAGCTGGACAAACCGCTCTGCTTCATTCCTTATCATTACTACGATTCCAGGCAGTGGTGTGTTCTGGGTTCCGATAAAGAACTTAACCTGCTCATCGGTCTTAGGTTTTCGTTTGTTTGTCCATATATTTTCGGTTTGACGATGTTTTTGAGCGCTACAAAGAGACGGAATTCCGGACCACCTTGTGCCTGCTAACGTAGAATGAATATGTTGAATCCCTATGAACGGGAAATTTCAATTTCTCTTTTTTTCGCGGGTCTCTCAGAGTGGGGACATTGTGTCTAGTATTTCTTGCGAAGTCTCACTGACAATATCAGATCCAAAATTAGAACGATGTTATCGATGAAATTGTTCGTTGTGCCGGTGGTTTTGATGGTTTGAATTCATTCGGGCGTGTTGCTGTTGATTTTGTTTTATTTTAAACCTATATGTAGTGTTCATACGAACTGGGATCCACTGAGTCATCAGGACCGCCTTTCGTTGAAGCTTCATTTCATATACGTTCAAGTTTTTGACCAACATTCGCGAAACAAACGGTGCTCGTTTGCCTTGAATGCTAGCCGAAGTGGAGACCGTATTTGATTCTATCTTGCGGTTCGCATTGTATAGGAATACACATGTAATTTCGCACATATGTAGGCTACGGTAGCCTTGTTTTAATCTACGCTCAGAGTTGTCACTTTGCTTTACTCTTTCCATGGATAGACGCCCCTTGAAGGAGAAAATGGTGATATTGTATCTTCGGCTGGTTTCCTTAAATGTTTCCATTAGTCGTTAGATCTTGGGAACGACAACCAGTCTCCAATCACAATACTTCATTCTCCTTGTCCCAGTTCCAGTCGTATGCGGTAAAATTTGATCGTCTTTTTGATGCTCGTGACTCACACGAAGCAGGTGTAATTTAGCGCTTATTGAACGGTCAGGTCATCAATTTTGACCACAAACGGTATTAGTCAAGATGTATCTATCTTACTGAATATCATTTAACGAAACAAATTGTAATGCCTTCGTTAATTGGGGTGTTCTGAGTATTCAAATACATTCACATTTTCGCATGCATGATAATCCGGGAAGGAACAGCTAAGTGTGGTCACTTTGACTATGACGCGTGCATCACACACCGCATAGAGCTGCTTGGTAGAGGTTGGAACTGCAGACAATTTTTTTGGATTGTCGTAG